TTTTATTATTTAAAATCTTTTTAAGGTTAAAAAAAAGTTTAAAAATGTAAGTATTTAAAAGGAAAATTTAAACTTATAAAACATGAATAGTGTCAAAAAGCTGAAGCTCCTAGAAGCCACACCAAACAGACCCTAAGTAAAGGGCTGTTTAGTGGAACTTCTTAGAGTTTTTACTTTTTTTGTACTGTTTATGAGTGATAAATATAAATTTTTATTGGAAGAAAAATTTAAAAGTTGTTTTTAGAAATAGAAAAAAGTAAATAAGAAATAAGTAAAAAAATTTATAAAAAACAAAAGTTTGAAACTTTTCAAAATTTACTATTTAAAATCTTTTTAAAGTAAAAAAAAAGTTAAAAAATGTAAGTTTTAAAAAAAAATTTAAACTTATGAAATATGAATAATGTCAAAAAGCTGAAGTACTTACAAACTTCACTAAACATGCTCTAAATGTCCTTTCTCCTGTCCTCAAATTGTAGCTGTTAAAAAAAAAATCAAAAGATAGAAAACACTTTGTCTATGGAGCTAAATAGACTAATGATGCACGAATATAATTGACGTATTAAAGAATACTTTGTCCACGGAGCTAGGTAGAGATGCACGAATATAATTAAAGTCTACTTATGCTGCACCTAAAGCTGTACTTCCACCCATATGCTCATTCTATGTTCTTGGCTTTAACTTTATTCAATATTACACACCCTTCGTCTAAAACAATATTACATGCCCAAATTCGTTATTTTATTGATGCTACATTCTCATTCTATACGGTTGAAAATTAAAGTAGCGAATTTGGGTATGTAACAATTTTTCTTTTTTTAATGAAGGGTATGTAACATTGAATAAAGTTAAAGCCAAGAATGTAATTCCCATACAGAAAGCTAAAGTGAACACCTTATTAATACTACTTTAAAAAAAAATCGAAAAGAAAAGAAAAGATTATAAGATAAATTAAAGATTTAGGAAAATTAATGAGACTAATAATTAAGAAAATATGTATTGCAATGCCAACTATTGCTTTATTTGACAACATTCTTCGGAGATTTAGTTTTTATATCTTTTTACTACTCTAAAAATATATAAAATATTAATCAAAATAAATATTAAATATATTAAATATATTTTATATATTTTTAATATGTTAAA